GGCTAGGAAACTAGTCATATGGCCGGAGTTGTCCAATGTGGCCATGGACCTCCTTTCCATCCCCCCCCCACCAGCGTTCAGAGCGAGCATACGTTTTCCCATCTCAGAGACATACTCCGACCACGCCGCTCACATTTGGATCCCGTTACTGTTGGGAGACTGTCGTTCATCAAGGTGAACCTTCCCTTCTTGGGCTTCCCTTCACTGAACCCAAAGGGGTAGGGTTCCAATGACAATCACTCCCTTAACACACTGCCTGCCTGCCTGCCTCCGCCTGCCTGCCACCTGCCCACCCTCTAGTCCTCCTGAAAAAAAAAGAAGACCTGCCTACTTGCCTGCCGGCCTGTAAACCTTCCCCTCAGTCAGAACTCCAGCAGCCGATTCCAGTCGCCTCCTGGATCCAGTCAGACTAGCAGGCTGAGAACTGTGGAATTCCTGCCTGCCTGCCTGCCTCCTGAACAAAGTCAGACCAGCAGGCCAAGACCTGTTGAACTCCTGCCTGCTGGATCAGGTCAGACCAACAGGCCAAGAAGTGTTTTTGAACTCCTGCCTGCCTGCTGGATCAAGCCAGACCAGCAGGCCAAGACCTGTTGAACTCCTGCCTGCTGGATCAAGTCAGACCAGCTGGCCATGAAGTGTTGAACTCCTGCCTTCCTGCCTTCCTGCCTGCCTGCTGGGTTACATCGTCCTGGCGGGCTGTTTGTTCCACCTTCTTCTGCCTCCCTGACTGCCTGCTGGGTGATGTAGTTCCGGTGGGCTACGTTTGTTCCACCATCTGCCTCCCTGCATGCCTGCTGGGTTATGTAGTCCTGGTGGGCTGTTTGTTCCATCTTCTGCCTCCCTGCCTGCCTGTCGGGTTACATAGTCCCAATGGGCTGTTTGTTCCACCTTCTGCCTCCCTGACTGGGAGGAGAGAACTCCTGCCTGACACAGGTTAAACCAGAACAGCTCTGCAATCTGAAGCGAGGCGATATGGTGATGGGGTGACGTGCAGACCGAGCCTGGCCCTCTTGGCATCCAAGTCTAAACCCTCTCTTGGCACACCCAGAGCCTGTCCTGGTACCTCTGAACATGACAAGAGGGCCAGCCAACCCTCTTGGTGCAGTGCTGATCTTCTGATGGATAAGCCCAGTGGCTTAGTGGTTTAACCCACAGTGCCATAGTCTATGTTGCTGCTATGTGCAACCTGTGTGGGTGTCCCCCCCCCATCAATTCCAGCCTCCTTGGGCCATGTTGGCCCCAAATCCTGCATCCCTCTCCAGCAGCCCTGGGCTTGCCTGCTGCTGATTCTTTGCTAAGAATTGGGCCATGGGCCTTCCAGATCTTGATTGTTGGGTGAAGTTGGCACATCGGGCCAAGTTCTTTCCTGCCTGCCTGCCTGCCTGCTTATTCAAAGGGCTACATGAATACTCCAAAGTCCATTCATTCCTAATTCCTGGCTGTTCATTCCAGTTTCCTACTGCCTCAGGTGGGCAATACCTGGAACAAACTACAGGAGCTCAGCTCACCCCATTGCATGGATTTGATCTTCTACTTGAGAAACCCAGCAGCCCTGTGGATTAACCACCCTTACGTTAGTATCACCACCCTATTCATCTATTGTTGTACAACCTCAGTTGCCTCCTGGGGCCAAACTTACT